GAATGAATATAAAAATCTATATAAAAATATTAATTACACACAATTAAAATTAATTTAATATTTACAAATACTCACAGATATCAAGGTCTTTTTATTAAGCGGTCCAAATTCAGCCACAGTAAAGCCAATACGTTTGTCACGTGACAGGACATGTCTAAACAGCCCGAGCTCTTTGTATGCCTGATCAGTGGTCAACTGATGGACACCTATTCTGTCCAATGCCCGGCCAATGCTGTCAACCCTACCCTCACAGGAACCGCATATTAAACACGTGGCGATCAGCTCTATGCTGTCCAAGAGTGTCGAGTAGCCCATTAAATAAGAGAATTTGACCTCTGTGTTTTGTTTGTTTACGATGATCATGGTGTAAACACCGACCATTATGTAAAATATTGAGTTGACAACTTTTATGGCGAGTGCAGGTAGCAATAGTTTGTCCAGGTCAGATATTGTGTCGCGGAGTTTTATGTACAATTGCTTGTTTGCTGAAATTGCCTTGCTAATTATAAATGATTGAGAATGTTGAAATTGTTTACCTAGATTAATTGTAATTAATTTTTAAAATGTTATAATATTTAAATAAATTTTCAAATAACATACCATGATGAATATCTTGAATGTCCATGATAATTCTATCCAATACTTGATTAAAATATACACTCAAAATGCATGGTATTGTTGACATCGAGCAAAACAGACAGTAATTTAAGAAATACAACTGTCTGTATGTAAAATCGTACATGGTCATTTCTGATGCTTGCGTAATTAAATGATAAATATCGGTAGATATATAAGTTAAAATTATGATTAACCATGTGGCAACAATAGCAATAACCTTGATATCATAAAAGTTAGCTATCTCTTTACCAAGTCTTGTTATCAACTTGGTGAAAATTTTATAACCAGTGTTACTGTTAAGAGTGTATAGAGTAATTAGATGTCTCAGGGTAAGTAGTAGTACTAGCAGTCCATATAACAGTGGCATATGGTGTTCAAGGTGAATTTGAATATTAAATGAATACACCATAAAGTAAATATAAGCTAATATAAATGCCGCGATAGTAGCGTATCCATAATATTTAAATATTGATCTTTGTGATATTTGTCCGGTTTTCATATTAATGGTTAGACCGCCAAATGTTACTCCAATTACTCGATGAAACCATAATAATATTTGTATGATTATGGTAAATTTTCTACTTGAATTTTCAAATTTATTTAATACAATCATTATTAAATAATATTACTTATTTAATTATATTGTAATATTGATGTAACGCTAAAATATAAAGTTTTCATTAATTTTTATATAAATTATTTTATTATTAAAAACAAGGTTGACATACACGATGAGTTTAGCACAATTCAGGATATGTTCTATAAACCACATTCTACTTATTAATTATGGTTAATAATTTAATTAAATTATATATAAAAATATTTGATTATAATTAAAATAATCTCAGAAAATACAAATGCTTTTACTAAATGATTTGTGTACTATAATATTAAAGTGCCATTAATTTCTTTATTAATAATATTTCTCAATATATACAGTTAATTAACATAACAATTAAATTGTATTAATTATTATATTTAATTGTATATTTCATACAATTCATTAGATAGTTGTCATAACTACTGTATTCAAATTTAACACTATGTTGAAATTAAAATGTTATTACAAAATCAATGAAACAAATTAAATTGTTATTGACAACATAAATTTTGAAATATTACATTACCTAGTTGCATGGAAAATCATTAATAAATAATTATTATCCACATAAATATGAAAAACACTTAATTGTTAGAAAATTGATCAATATTATTAAAAATGTTTAATACATTTGCTATATTATGAAATAAATAATTACTTTAATAAACTAGCACCAGTAAAATGTTTTTTGCCAATGTATATTATTAGGACAAATATTATAAATAGAAAAATATTAATTTTACAGTTTTTCATATTATTTTTAACACAATATGATAATAATAATAAACAACCATTTTAAAATAGCACATCAAAGTAAAATAAACTATTTTACTTTGTCAATCACATAAGTTGCTGCTCAAAGTATTTTTGGTCAACAAAAATTGTTTAAATAATGCTATTACTAAAGTATAACCTCGCTATACAATAGTGGCACTAAAGTGGCCCTAACGGGTTTTAGTGAGTATGAACGTGGATTAACATTTTATCTTGGTAGTCAGATTCAAAATTATTTATCTGGCAAAATTATTTTGATATTAATTTTATGGTCACTACATGTGATAATTATTGAACTCTTAAATGTGGAGTATTTGCATAGAGATCAAGATGGTTATATAATGTATAAGGCTATTTCAAATATACTTTACTTGCAATACAATATAATGTTATGGACAGTAGGCGTAATCATGTGGTCTGTGACTATATATTGTACAGATATCATGGATAAAATAATCACAAAAATAAACAACTTTAATGTAATTGACAAAGGTAATTAAAATATGAAATATTAACGGTTGCTATTAATATTTTATTTGTTTTAATATTTATTTTGTTGCTTTATATCAACTAGGAATTAACAAGTTAGAAATACACCCAGTGCAATTAATAGAAACATTGTACACGGGAAAAGTAATCTATGTAGAAATACACACAACCATCAGAAAATTAGATACTAAACTTAAATACATAAACGCCATAAAAACCTTATTAACCTTCTTAGACGTAATGATAAATATTTATGCGCTATTTATATATACATGGTCGCCGGAATTTAGGGTCTTGGTTGAATTAATAGCGTTTCGCACAGTAGCGGACATTGTTGAGATTATAATAACATGTTTTATCTGTGGGTCTATTGAGCGCAAAGCGGCTAAACTATGTCAAGCGCTGCACTCGATCAACACTCGGGCCCTCACGGATGTCGAGTATCGCGAGTGGCGTACGTTTACGGCTGTTGTCCAACAATCCGGCCGTACGTTTGGGTTTACGATCGGCGGTTTCGCACCGTTTAATAAACGCACACTAATCAAGGTATATTTTTATAACTACTATTATAAATTATTATACATTCTTTTTTATGTTAATTATTATATAATTGAATGATTGTATTTAACTACAATATAATAATGTATAATAATTATGTTTAATATAATATATGTGTAATTAAATTAAATGTTTTAATCGATTAATTTATTTTACAGATATTGACGTTCATGCTAAATTATTCTGTCATCTTACTTCAAACATCTAAATAATAATTTTAATGTAATCATTTATAATATTGCTATCAGTTACAAATAATTATTATTAATAATTAGACTAATCACGTCCTTGAATGAGCTGGATTGGTCAGAAAATAAATAATCTGTCGAGAACAAAATTACCAATAATAGGACCATGTACATAAATCCAAGAATATCTGCTTTTTGCACAAAATCCTGAATTGTCACATCCACTGACTTGTCAGTATATGTACAGTCATTAATATTTATTTTTACTTGTCAACTATATTTATATTTAATCATGATTTAATTTTGTAAAAATATTCGTATTGTTTCTATAAATTAAAATCTGCAAAATTGTTGTACTTTTGAATGTACTTTTAATAAATTTTTAAATCCTAATAATATTTATTTTACATAAATTTTATGTCAGTTAATTAACATTCTTAAATATAATACTATTAGTATTATTATAGCTAATTTGTCAAAAATATTTATTCACCTAATAGTATTTATTTAATTTAATATGTGTTTATAAAATATATTAGAAAGATATTTAAATAAATTAAATTATTTATTAATTGACTGATACTTACTTTCTAATATTAAATACAATGACAAACTCTATCACTGGATTATAATTATATTTATGTTTGAGTATTATAAGTATGAACATGAGTCGTCATGTTGTAACGAAATAGTAAATAGTCAATACTGTATGTCTTATAAATACAGCGATTTATAGGCAGATTCATATTTAATAATTTAGCATTAATAATGCTATTACTAAAGTATAACCTCGCTATACAATAGTGGCACTAAAGTGGCCCTAACGGGTTTTAGTGAGTATGAACGTGGATTAACATTTATGTACACTTGATTAATGAACTGTACATTTTATGGACAGCATTTATTACATTTAAATTAAATTATCATCTCTCTCTCTCTCTCTCTCTCTC